CCTCCTCCTCCTCCTCCTCCTCCTCCTCCTCCTCCTCTTCCTTCTTTCCTTTTCTTCATAAACAACTCCTCCCTATCGCACCCCGAGGCAAGTTTATAGGGCGGGCCGGGCGTTTCACCGGCGACTTCCTCACCAGTTATGACTCTGGAGCTTAAAAGATGGCAACAGCTTCACAGATGGAGGGCGGGTGGTTTTCAAAATGTGGCTCGCGCCTCAGCGCCGCGCGCATTCGTCTGAAAAATGTGCAAGACCTTTGCGGATTGAGGGCGAATCGTTTTCAAAATGTGGTTCCCGCCCCAGCGCTGCGCACACTCGTTTTAAGCATGTGCACAAGTTTCACGGATTGAGGGCGGTTCCTTTGCAATATGTGGCTTTCGCTTTAGAGCCGCGCGCATTCGTCTTACAACATTGCAAGGGTGTCACGGATTGAGGGCGGCTCCTTTTCAAAATGTGGCTCTCGACTTAGCGCCGCGCACACTCGTCTTAACAAATTGCAGGAGTTTCTCGGATTCCCATTGACAACTTACCAGAAATGGTGTTTTGGAAGGATGCAGGCATATGAGGGTGCACAGTTACTGTTGATTCGCGGTGTTCAATTCCCAGGAATGGCGTTCTGGCACGATTCAGGACTATCAAGACGCAAAAACAAGTTGATCTGTGGCGTTGGAAACCCGAGAAAAATGTCTTGGCATGCTTCAGGGTCTTCAAACACTTGTCTTCCAACGAAGCTATTCCCTCAGTATCAATGAACCGTTGTAGGGGCCTAGGAAGGAGAAACTTGGAGGGAGGCAGTATCCCAACATCGTTGATGCGTCTTGGGTTTACAATAGTCTTGCTCCTCCTCCTCCTCCTTCTCCACCTCCTCTTCCTCCTCCTCCTCCTGTTTTATCCTCCACCTCCTCTTCCTCCTCCTCATCTTCCTCCTCCTCCGCCTGCTCGTCGTCCTCCTCCTCCTCCTCATCCTCCTCCTCCCCGTCCTCGTCCTCGCCCTCGTCCTCGTCCTCGGCCTCGGCCTCCCCCTCCCCCTCCTCCTCCTCCTCCTACTCCTCCTTCTCCTCCTCCTCTTCTTCCTCCTCATCCTGCTCCTCCTGTTCTGTTAAGTAATGTAAGTCCCAAATGGGACGTTGTTGCCGACGCTCCGGGCAAGGAGCGGACGGACATGCGGCATGATTAACAAACCCCCAGCCCTCTGGGAACCAGTGCCCGTGTATTGCGCGTTGAAGAGGTCCACTAACCTGCGGCAAGCTTCATGCCGAGCGCACAGACACCACACACGAGACACGCGCATGCGCGCGACGAGAAGTCCACAATGAGCTTGCCTCCTCGTTGGTGCTGATGGGGGCTCTGCCCACGCGTTTCGCCACGTGGCGGTGGGGGTCATCGCCAAATGGCAGTTGGGAAAGGGGGGGCTTCGCTCGAAAAAGAACGGGGAGGGCGGGGGCAAGGGCAAGAAAGAAAGGCACGAGAAAACACTCGAAATCGAAGAGAGAGCCTGTCTGGCAGACAAGACGGACAACCGGAACCAGTGCCTGTCTTCCAAAAGCCCGCGGGTCCGGAGACCAGGACCGAGAAGCGGACCAACAACTTCACGAAAAGAGTCACACGCGGCCGCGGAAGGAAAGGTCGGGCAAAATACGCACCCTGGCCACGGGAGTCCGCGAAACGCCCAACAGGAGACGCCACTTAAAAAAAACGCCAGCAGCCGCGGCATTCCGCCGGCACCCGCCCCCGGACCCGCCGCCCCAACAGAGCCGCCGGCTCCCGCCAGCCGTCCACCGGCTGCCGCCGAGGGCGAGAGGCAAGGAAAGCAAGGGCCTCTCTGGAACGCACTTCCGGCTCGAAAAATACGCGCCACTCTGTGCGACCCTGTGAGGAGGAGCCCGCGGGCGTAAGAGAAACGTGCTTTGAGCTGACTCGCCCTGCTGCGAGAACGCACTCCCTGGCGGCGAGAACGTAATCGTTCTAATTGCCAGGCGGCTCCGGCAAGGCAGCTGGAGGCCCAGAGCACTGGGTCGAGAGCGGCGGCGGCCCTGAAACTACCGGGCCGCCGCCTTCGGAGACCGAGAGACCCGGCGGGTCTGGAGCACGCAACGCACGGCGCGTGAGGCAGGTCCGCGCGACTTGTGAGCTGACAGGAGCAAGCGGGAACGAAGGAGGAGGAGGAGGAGGAGGAGGAGGAGGAGGAGGAGGGGAGGAGGAGGAGGAGGAGGAGGAGGAAGAAGAGCTGGAGAAGAGCAGGATAGGAACGAGCAGGAGAGGAACGAGGAACGAGAAGAAGAGGGGAAGAGCAGGAGAGGAACGAGGAAGAAGAGCTGGAGCCCGGCCAGCTGCGAGCGGGACCCGCCACTGCGGCCAAGAGGAGGGGCCGCCCGCTGCCGCACCGCGGGCGCCGCGAGCCGGCGCCCCCCACCCCACGCTCGCGCAGCGCCCAGGATCGAGCCTGTTGCAGCCTGGCCCGCCACGCCACCATGACTCCCCCGGCCTCCCGTTCGAACTCCGC